GGCTATTTTTTGGTTGCAGCCGTCATTGTTGTTTTGGCGGGCGCAGGCTGGATTCCAACCCCCGACCTTAGGTGTATGTGGCTGGCGCCTTAGCCACTTGAGCCACAGGCTCAAGAGCCTGAAAACTATTTCTTAAGAGAACTATTTTAAAACAAGACAATAGTGTACTACGATCATGACATTTTCTTTCTTTGAAATCCTTGAATTACAGATGTACTCATCTTCATGGTGTGGGTTCTCTAAATTGGGTGGCGGGGACCTTAAAAGAACGATTTTCAAGAGCTCTATCAATGTTGAGGCGTATATAAATTCTGCACCTACATTTGAGAATGCTCTCTTCCACCCTCCCACCTGAAGCTTACAGCTTGTCAGATGGCTTTTCCTAGGATAAACTAGGATCTAAGAGAGGGCGGATCTTCAGCTCTAGGGAGGAGCCGGTAGCTGCAGCTCAGGTTTGACAATCAGCTGCGGGGTTGCGGCCCAAGAGAAAAAGAACTCACTTGGTCGCGCACCACCGCCTTCTCCGAGGCCCTCTATGACTACCCCAAAACTCTGCTTGTTGGCCCTTGCCCCCGGCACCTTGCTGGCCCCTGGCCCGTCCCTAGGAGGTCCAGTCCTCTCACCCGCTGCCAAGTTCTCACACAGCCTCAGTGGGACCCTCAGAGCGTAAAGCAGCCCCAGCCCAGCCACGAACCACATGGAGGCCCCAGCCCCCGCCAGCCCGGCCCGCAGCCGCTCCCTCCAGCCCAGCGGCGGGCTCTGGCCGGGAACAGGTGCAGAAGGAGACACAGCGCTCGCAGCTTCTCCTAAGCCGCCACCGTCCGCCATCTTGCCGTCCCCGGAGGCGCCAGCAGCTGGGAGGGAAGGGAAGGAAACCCAGAGTCGGGAATCCTGGGATAGTGGCGGACCAGTAGTCGGCCTCCGTTATGGCTGAGTCCCAGGAAAGGGGGAACGAAGAACTGGAAGGTGGAGAAGCTAGTCCCAGGATTGAGGATACCTATTCATTCAGGGGGCAGGGAAGGAGCGGATGGCTGCGTCATTCTGGAGGAACTGGACTGAGATACGACCCTGGAGTGAAGCATTATTGCTTCCATGAGAGACGAGAGTCACCTTTTACCCCACTCCCGGGGTTGGAAAAGCCACCAATCGTTCCAGGGGCCGAGCAGCTCTCAGCGCTTTGGACTCGGCTGCCATGGAGATCACTGGTACCAAGAAAACGTATCGGAGTAGGAACTACTATTCGATTGGATACAGCTCAGGTGCCAATAACAGTAGAAAGACGCTGCTGGCGTCCAATAGTTGCATGGGGGAATGACTGTAACTCAGAGAGAAAGATATCAGACTTCAAATCACTTAAGGAATACACGTCCCAGGGCAAGTGCTGGGAGTTGTCAACCCGCGCGCAACTGACATGGCGCCCTCCCGGTCCGCGTTTCCGGGCTGCGCTTCCGACCGCCCCTGCAGTGATTCCGTCACTCGCTTCCTTCCCGGCCTGCCTTGCGCCCCGCGGCCGGGCTGGGCCAGAGCAGCCAAGATGGCCGACTTCGAGGATCGGGTGTCGGATGAGGAGAAGGTAAGGGGTCCGCCTCTCTCTCTTACCTCCTCCCGCGACAGGGACCAGGGGCCCAGCCTGCCTGCGGTGGGAAGCCTGGCCGTGTCCCCGGGAAAAGAAGCTCCTTGGCCTGTGCCGACATACGGTCTCCACAGTCGGGACGCTTCGCTCTTAAGGGGCTTGCCTCCGCCTCACGGTGGCCCCAGTTCTCTGTTCCTTGACTCTCTTCTTTTCCTCCTGGGCCGGAGGCACAGCCCAGTGGCCTTCCTGCAAGAGAAGAGACTTTTCCCTGATTGAATTGTGAATGTGGACTCCTCTCTACAGTAACGAGAAAGGGCGTTGGTTTTGTCGCGACGCATCAAAGGGCAGTTATTTTGCCGCCTTTAGCTGTTGGGGTCACCCCATCCCCCCATGTTTAGACATGATTGGGGTTTAGTTCGGGGCGAGTCACTTCCTGGTCAGGGTGGCCTCCTAACTTCCCTTTTGCTCCTCCTTCCTCAGGAAGTGATTTTGCTGTCACGACTCCTCGACAGAGCGAGGTCCCCAAGTGTTGTCCACCTTACACATCCACTTCTTTTTTCACGCACTGTCCCCCAGTTCTCCACAATAAATGCGTAAGCTTCAGGGCATTTCCTTCAGAGTTTGGACACCAGACTTTCCCTCCCCGCAGACACTTTGTTGAATGTATGTACATACGTTTTCCCTCCCGCCTCCGGTCTTACATCCTCTTACTGTTAATTTTTGAAAACTAGTATTCACTTTCTTGTTAACGAATCAGGAATAGCCAGTGGGTTTTCTTAACCTCCAGCCGGTTTCATATAACACATAAATCTGATGTTAACACGTTTAAGTTTGAACAAAGCGTCCTGCCTTCTTTGATAATACTTGAATTTGTCATTGTGGAATTTGTGTACTTATTTTTTGAAAAGTCCCTTAAATACAAGAGCATATTCTAAGTTAAGTGGAATAACATTTTTTCCTTTGAGGGTTACATACCTTGTATAACAGGTAGGCTTTTCAGTAAAAGCATTATTTTAGGGTGTGGTAGAAATTAAAATGACCTCACTAGATAGATAATTTGTTATAATTTAAGAATTATGGGCTTGGCGCCTGTGGCTCAAGTAGCTAAGGCGCAAGCCACATACACCTAAGGTGGCGGGTTGGAATCCAGCCCGGGCCTGCCAAACAACGACGGCTGCAACCAAAAATAGCCAGGCGTCATGGCGGGCGCCTGTGGTCCCAGCTACTTGGGAGGCGGAGGCAGAAAACTTGCTTGAGCCCAGGAGTTAGAGGTGGTTGTGAGCTGTGATGCCACAGCACTCTACTCAGGGGGACGGCTTGAGGCTCTGTCTCAAAAAAAAGAAAGAATTATGTCTTTTGTTTCCCACTGTGACTGTTACAAAATGTACACTCTTAAGTGCTCTGTAAGTCTAAAGTCTTTTTAAATAAAAGATTGGGATGGGGTAGGGGATTGTATGATCCAGGAGTCTGAAGTACAGAATAATTTGATACACTTACATATGGTATGTATGTCATTTTGAAATGCTAAGGCATATGCTCTACACTTACTACCTTCAGCATTAGATTTTTCTCTTTTGGAAAAGGATTTTGATAAATGTTTAAGGGGGGAAAAAAGACCTATGAGCTTATGCTGGTTAAGACAACTATAATAAAATGTTTATTCTAGGGGGCGGCACCTGTGGCTCAGAGTAGGGCACCCGCCCCATATACCAGAGGTGGTGGGTTCAAATCTAGCCACCAGCCAAAAACTGCAAAAAAAATTTTTTTTTTATTCTAAGGTAAACAGTTATGATTCAGATGAGATTAAATTACATTGAAAATCCTGGGTTAATATTTGTTAGCCAAACTGATAATTTTCCTATTGTGAATAAAATAGTTAAAACAGAATTTCACAAAGGATGAAGTTTATTGTGCTCAAGTCATACACATTTACTAGGATTATTGGGTTTTTGTTTTTGATACCATATTAGACTGAAATTTGGGAAAATGTATATGTATTTCAAAGTGCCAATTAAGATATCTTTGGATAGGGTGGTACCTGTGGCTCAGTGAATAGGGCACCGGCTTGGTATACCGAGGGCAGTGGGTTTTTACCTGACTTGGCCAAAATGCAACAAAAAAATAGCCAGGCGTTGTAGTGGGCTCTTGTAGTCCCAGCTACTCAGGAGGCTGAGGCAAGAGAATTGCTTAAACCCAAGAGCTGGAGGTTGCTGTGAGCTGTGACGTTACGTCACTCTACCGGAGGCAACAGAGACGCTGTCTCTAAAAAAAAAGATATCTTGGGATATTGACAGTATTTTAACTAATAACATTACTAGTCTTGATTTTACAATACAAGGTCTGTGACCAGTTTCCTCTTATCCCCTAGCATATTGTTTTTCTTGCCAAAATATTTTAATATTGCTTTTTATCTTTGTTACATTTTTAAAAAGCAGTAAACTCTGAAGTAAATTTGGTGATAATGGTCTATGATTTCCTTACAAGTATTTCTATAAAAGCTTGTAAAATTATCCATGCTCAAAACTGAAATTTTTTGTCACTTTATAAAGAGGAAGTTTTTTTTTAACTTCTGCATCATTACCTGAAATGGTCATGATGAGCTGTCTAAATAAAACAGGAAGTTGAAAGTGTAATAACTTGCAGAAGTAGGTGCTTTTAGTTGTATACTTGTGTTCACAGTTTCTAATAATTAGCTTAATTCTTCATTTACTTCTAAATGCTTAGCAAGACCAGGATACCAAAATTGGGAAGCTTGAAATTTGAGATAAACTACTTGCATTATCTGTTTTCTTTATTTCATGATTCCACAATGTTGGGTTTTTGTTTGTTTGTTTTGTTTTTTTGAGACAGGGTTACCCAGACTGGAGTGCTGTGACATGATCTCACTGTAGGCTCCTACTCCTGGTTCTAAGCTATCCTCTTGTCTCAGCCTCCCAAGTAGCTGATACTATAGTTGGGCACCACTGCAACCAGCTAATTTTTTCACTTTTGTAGAGGGAGGATCTTGCTATTTTGCTCATGCTAGTCTCAAACTCCTGGCCTTAAGTGATCTTCCCACTTTGACCTCCCAAAATGCTGGGGTTGCAGTGTAAACTGCCACACCTAACCTAGTTCAACTTTTTTTTTTGAGACAGGGCCTCCAGCTCTATATATCATCATAGCTCACTGCAACTTCATGCTCTGGGGTTTAAGCCATCCTTCTGCTCCAGCCTCCAAAGTAGCTGGGCATGTGCCACCATGTGTGGCTGATTTCTCTATTTTTTTTGTAGAGAAAGGGTCTTGCTCTTAAGTCAGGCTGGTCTCAAACTTCTGGCTTCAAGTAGTCCTGCCTTGGCCTCCCAGAGTGCTAGGATTATAGACATGAGCCATAGATTATAGCCCATGCCTTACCTGACTCAGCATTTTTGAGACATAAATGCAAGAAGAATTTTAGGGCTGAAAACTTATGAAGAATAATGAATGATTAGCATAATTTTTCCCTTTGGCCTAACTAGTAGAATATTTGTGTACAGTTTGAAGAATACCAGAACTGAGCAGTTATGCTTTTAGTTTAGATAGTGGTTTCAGTTTTAAGGCATTTAGTGGGGGGGGGGGGGAACAGGTTTATCAAAATTAGCTAGTACATAGCCGAGCGTTGCTAGTACATAGCTGAGCGTTGCAGTGGGCGCCTGTAGTCCTAGCTACTTGGGAGGCTGAGGCAAGAGAATCGCTTGAGCCCAAGAGTTTGAAGTTGCTGTGAGCTGCTATGCCACATCCGTCTACTCAGGGTGATAAAGTGAGACTCTGTCTCAAAAAAAAACTGCATTAAAAATGGTTTAGCAGAGGATGGCGGATTTGAACCCGGCCCCCGCCAAACTGCAACAGAAAAATAGCTGGGCATTGTGGCAGGCGCCTGTAGTCCCAGCTATTCCGGAGGCAGAGTTAAGAGAATCACCTGAGCCCAAGAACTGGAGGTTGCTGTGAGCTGTGACGTTATGGCACTCTACCAAGGGTGACAAAGTGAGACTCTGTCTCAAAAAAAAAAAAAATTATTTAGCAGAGATATAGAAAATATTGTAAATATGTAAATAGGCTGAGTGTGGTGGCTCACATCTGTAATCTATAAGTCTATCACTCTGGGAGGCCAAGGCTGATGGAGCCCTTTGAGCTTAGGAGTTAAAGACCAGCCTGAGCAAGATCCAAGACCTCATCTCTAAAAATACCCACGAATTGTGATGGGTGACTGTAATCCCAGCTACTCAGGAGGCTGAGGCAAGAGAATCACTTGAGCCCAAGAGTTTGAGGTTGCTGTGAGTTATGATGCCATAGCACTCTACCCAAGGTGATAGCTTGAGGTTTTGTCTCCAGAAAAAAAATAAATAGCTGGGTGTTGTGGTGGGCACAGCTGTTCTGGAGGCTGAGGCATGTGAATCTTTTGAGCCCAAGAGTTTGAGGTTGCTGTGAGTTATGACGCCACGACACTCTATGAAGGGTGACAAAGTGAGACTCTGTCTCAAAAAAAAAAAAAAAAAGAGTGTAAGTTTATTGACTGGGTGCTTTGGCTCATACCTCTACTCCCACCACTTTGGGAGGCTGAGGCAAAAGGATCGTTTAGGCCAGGAGTTTGATACCAACCTGGGCGACATAGTGAGGCCCTTGTCTCTACAAGAAAAAAAAAAAAAGAATAGCTTTATCATAATTTCTTCCAGAACATTTAGGTATTTTATTAGGACCAACCTTAATAGTAAACAAAGTAGTATAATTTGTCAGAAAATTTAGATTCCAGGTTTGCCTGATTCTGAAGTTATGCTTTTTTCACTTCATTGTTTTTTTGTGTATAACCATAAATGAAAAACCAGAATAGTGGCAACCACTTGATGAGGTATTGTAATATAGTGGAAAAGAAAGATTCTGAGTGTTAACAGATTTGGCCTTTCTTGCTATCCTTCTAGCCACTTGTATGATTTTGGGAAAATCACTTAGTCTCTATGAGTAGGCCTTAGTTTTCTTCTAAAATAGTG